GGCTGGTGGGTTTAAACCGCCAGCCTTCTGGTTAGCAGTCAAGTGCCTTAGGCACTATGCTACCAGAGCTCCCATGACTCTGAGTATACCTTCCGTTTTCTTTGGATGCTTCCTGCATCGTTCAATATTTTGCCAATAGAATCTTTCAATACTACAACTTGAAGCTTGTATTTTTTTATTTAGTTTTTTCAGCTTGAGAAATGCTGAGCATGTTCTTCCCTTTTGGTTTTCTAACTCCAGTCTTCATGCATTTCATTATAATAAATGAGTTTGTCTTCTAAAGCTGTTCTGTGAAATCTTCTGTTCAGCTCTCTTATCTTTTCATTTCTCCCATTTGCTTTAGCTATTATCAGTTCTCCGCTCTGCTACTGAGTCTTAAAATTTTTGCACAATCTCTCTGAGCATCCATTTCCTTATGCATGTATTCTTGCATGACAGCATCCTAGCTTAAGAATACATGCATTTACAAAAATGAAATAGAAGTTTTATAATAAGCAAATGAAATAAATGTAAGAAAATGTTTCAAAAAATGGAAAAATAACAAAGGTTTGCTACCTTTAGGCAATTTCCAAATACTATTTATAGAAAAAGAAAGAAATTATTTTCATGTTTAACAATTAGTTGAAGAAATAACTTTTTCTTTTCTGAGGAGTAGAAAATTAAATAAACAAAGATACAAAGAATGTCTACTGAGCGACTGCTTAAAAAAAAAAAGTCCCAATAAAACCTGTATTTCAAAAAGTAATACAAGCTATGAATGAAGGGCTTGCCCTCCCAAAAAGAAAGTTAAAATTTTTTGTAAGTTAAATACCAAAAGTAGCAATGAATACATCAAAAGTAAAGACAAGAACAACAAAAGGACCATCTTACTGGAAATTGCTTGGTGTTCCAATATCTGCCTTGGTTAATCTCTTCTTTTTAGCTTTTCCTTTCTTCTTTTCTTTGGTATGAGAGATGTTGTTGACTTGTGGGCCATAAAACCTATTTGTTGTGATTTCCGGATTTTTTATGTCTACTGTTGCCATGGGTAGATTAGGACCTGAAAGAAAGCCAAAATAATATGAATTGGATAATATTTAAGATCATTACATATAATTAAAATTTTGACTTAAATAATGTTTTTAAAGTAGAACTATATTTCATTACTATGAGCTATTTGAAATTTTTTTAAAACCCACATGTTAGATTTTTATATATAACGGATAAAACATAGATACTTATTCTTAAATGTATTACCACAGATACATTATTTCAAATTTCTATTTTTATAACTATATTTCATGAAGAATATGAACTTTCAACTAGAATTTAAGATTAACTGATCTGACCCCTCAAATAATGGTCTCACATCCAGCACTGTAAAGTGGTATAGATTGAACAACAACAAAGTTAAATAAAGAGAACTTACTTTGTTTTAAATTTAACAAAAAAATGTTAACTGTTTCAATTTTTCACTGTTTCAATTTTACTAGTCCATGAGGAAAAAAGTACTTATAAAATTATTACTAGTATTTGTTCTGAAACTGCCATGATTCAGTACAGCAGTATTTTCCCCATCAGTGTATATACATCTTGACTCTTAGAAACACAAGACTTTCTAATGAGTTTCCTTGGTAGACAACACTTTACATGTGTTGTCACAATTCACTGCAGGAGTGCTATGTGACTCTTAGAAGTTTGTTTTCATGTCGCTTCCTCCAGACTTCACCCCATAGGCTGTTTTCCCTTCGCTCATTCTGCTTTCTATCTTTCATTGTAATAAATCTTAGCTATGAGTGTAACTATATTCTGAGTCCTGTGAGTTCTTTCTAATTACCAACCCTGAAGGTGGTGTTGGGGACCCCAACCCAATCACAGAGTGGCAAATAGAAATCCTAAGACACTTTAGGTTAATGAATGTATTATCAAGTAATCATTAAATGCCAGTTTGATTGCAATCCTTTAATTGTACTGAAAACCTCCAATTTACCCTACCTATTTTAAAGAAAAATGCTTACTTTCTTGGGTAAATTATATAACCCATTTTCTCTCTCCCAACTCTACTATTGAAAATGGAACAGAGCTAAAATAAAATCATTCAAGCCATCTGCCGCTTTACCGAACAAGTCATCCTTTAACAAAATATGCATTTCTAAAATCACAGAAGGTTGGCTATCTTTCCTCAATATTCAAAGTTTATTTTTATATAAATGTATGTCTAAAAGTTTTATTTATAATTTAGTAAAAATTAATTTCACAGGAAATTCTCTCTGGCAAGAAATAAAGACATTCTTCTTGGAGAAAAAAAAAGTTAGTGAATAATAATGGATAAAATCATTAAAAACCAATCCAATGTGAAGAATAACCTAAAAACAACTGGATTGAGAAACAGGTTAAATCCACAATGCAGTATGACTTGAAAGGCTGACTAAATAGTAAAGACCTGGACTTTTTGAATTTGTTTAGATACATGCTTTAGAGTTGACTCTGTTGTTGTTGTTGTTATTTGCCGTCGAGTTGGCCCCGATTCATAGCGACCCCTCCTTGGGTTTCCGAGGCAGTATCACTACAGAAGTAGGATTGCCCAACCTTCCTTCCGAGGAGTGGCTGGTGGGTTTGAACCGCCAGCCTTCTGGTTAGCAGTCAAGTGCCTTAGGCACTATGCTACCAGAGCTCCTAGTTTCACAAAATAAAGGCCTTACTGAGAACCCAGAATTTGGGTGTCAGAGGGCTGGACTGGGGTCACACTCATACCTTCATGGATTTAACTACTGATCTATTTTAATTTCTCATTGCCTCCTTTTGCCCATTCTCTTAACTTATCCACATCAATTAGCATTAACAAGATACTGCAAATTACTGTTTACTCTCTTATCTTTATACTTATTAGAATTTGGGAACTGATTTAAGACAGAGTTAGACAGACTTAAGACTATCAGAGCTATCCCCTCATTGTATATACACACTCTTACTGAAATAGGTGTTCAAACAGCAACTTGAGAGAACAACCAAAATCGTCATTAAAAAAAAAAAAAAAGCCAACCATAATAGTTTTCAGGAGAAAACAAAGAAGATAAAATTTTGCATGCTGCTTTAGCTTATATGAAAGCAATCCATTACACTATGTAAGCACGCACTGCCGTCGAGTCGGATCCGACTCATAGTGACCCCTCTTTGGTTTCCGAGGCAGTATCACTATGGAAGTAGATTGCCCAACCTCCCTTCTGAGGAGTGGCTGGTGGGTTTGAACTGCCAGCCTTCTGGTTAGCAGTCAAATGCCTTAGGCACTACACCATCTACAGATGGTCTAAATGGTGAGAAAGTTGGACAGAGTTAAGTTTAACAGCTGAAATTATCCAAGCCAGTAAATTCTTTTCTAGGCAATAAGGAAGTTAAGATCTTGTAAGCTTAATTCATAACTCACTAGAGAAAGTAACTCAGCTGTGTCTCATGTTCAAGGATGAAGAGGACAAGAACAAAATATAAATTACATGTAAAAGCAGTATCAAAGTTCAACTCATATTATGGCAGACTACGCTGCTGCTTCTTCAACCCCAACATAAGGCACATCTGCAAACAGTATAAAGCCCTGGTATTCTCTCTCTAGAGTTATTATACACAGATTTCCTAAGTACTGGTTAAAACATCATTTAATTAAGTTCATATAGGAAATTCCAGATTATATAGAGATGTATAGAAACCTAGTATCAGATAGAAAACTATAGTGTTTCTTTTTGAAACTGTTCATTTTACAGATGAATATTAAGGTCTAGAAAAGTCAGGTGATCTACCTTTAGTCACATAACTAGTGACAGAGGCAGCAAGGACACTGGCATCTTAGTTCCCTGTCTACCACCCTTTCTGTTAACTATTCTACCTTTTACACAAAAGTCAAACCACAAGGTGACTAGTAATTCTAGCTTGACAAACGTCATCCTGTATTATTTGTTTATCAGTTTATCGGTTTGTAGTCCAGAAGCTCATCATTTAATAAATACCAAGTAACAACTGTGAGAAGTTAGAAACAATTTCCTACACATTCAAGAGGTTAAAGAACCAGGTCATTTCCTCAGAAAACAATCATTTTCTTTTAGAGTTTGAAAGGGTTAGAAAATTTGCTTATTGGAATGGTGTCCTCAAATCAAATTAAATATTTGCTTCCAAAGTGGCAAATGAAAAAAGTGAACTCTGGGCAGGCAATGAGTATCTAATGAGCTTATATAAGGCAGAGAGACATTTCTTTAAAAAAGTAAAGTTTTGAAAGTGTCTTTCCAAAAGCTCTGATTTGAGAAGGTCTGGTAAATGAATAACCTAAACGAGGATCTGAAACAGAGCATCCAAAGTGACACTACATGATGTGGTTAAGGTACCACTGCCACCTAGTGGTGGTGCAGAAAACTAATCTGCCTCCTCCAAAACAGTGGTCTCCCCAGTGGGGAATACAAGACCACTACAGAGCAGGAACACTTATTAAAACTTCTATGTATAATTTCATTCTTTATTGCTATTCAATGTATTAATACCATGTCATACGTATAACTTACACATTAATAAATAAGCAGATTTTAGTAATACATGCTATGTAACTTTGTTTTTTAATGATATTTTGGTATTAATAATATTTGATATTAATATACCTTGACTAGGAAGTCTTCCGGGAGCTCTGGTAGCATAGTGGCTAAGGCACTTGACTGCTAACCAGAAGGCTGGCGGTTCAAACCCACCAGCCACTCCTCGGAAGGAAGATGGGGCAATCTACTTCTGTAGTGATACTGCCTCGGAAACCCAAGGAGGGGTCGCTATGAGTCGGGTCCGACTCGATGGCACACAACAACAACAACAACAGGAAGTCTTCCACACTGGTATTCGGGAGCTCAGGTGGCACAGTGCCTAAGGCATCTGACTGCTAACCAGAAGGCTGGTGGTTCAAACCCATTAGCCACTCCTCGGAAGGAAGACTGGGCAATCTACTTCCATAAAGATTTACCACCTTGGAAGCCCAAGGAGGGGTCACTATGAGTCGGAGTCGACTTGACGGCAGTGAGTTTGGTTTTTTGGTCATACAATGCAAAATAATTTAATAAATTCAGAAAGAGGCTAAACTCCTAAGCACATCAAGGAAAAAAAAAAAGTAATGTACTAAAAGTTAACAAATGAGTGATTCGTGACTCAGCTGTACCTCTGCTTCCTGGGCCTCTGCCACTCACTAGCTGTGTAACTTGGGGCATGTTTTTCCTCTCTCTAGGTAGGTCTCCGCTTCTCCCTCATAATCACCTTAACATACAGCATAGTGGTTAAGGGGCCAGATTCTGGTGTCACATCATGAGACTGAATCCTGCTCTACCACTTAACTAACTAGTTATGTGACGTTGAGCAAGTCACCTTTCTGTGTGCCCCAGTGTCCCCATCTATAACATGAAGTGAGGGTTATAGGAGTTACTTTATAAGATTGCTGAGCAGTGCCTGCAGGTGTTGTTGTTGTTACGTACTGTCGAGTCGGACCCGACTCACAGCAACCCCTCTTTGGGTTTCCGAGGCAGAAGTAGCATAGTGCCTAAGGCACTTGACTGCTAACCAGAAGGCTGGCGGTTCAAACCCACCAGCCACTCCTCGGAAGGAAGGTTGGGCAATCCTACTTCCGTAGTGATACTGCCTTGGAAACCCAAGGACGGGTCGCTATGAGTCAGGGCCGACTCGATGGCAAACAACAACAACAACAACATCACTGTGGAAGTAGATTGCTCCATGTTCCTTCTGAGGAGTGGCTGGTGGGTTTGAACTGCCAGCCTCCTGGTTAGCAGTCAAGTGCCTTAGTATAAATGACCATTAAATAGTAGCTGCTATTATTACTGCATCATCTTTATCATAATGACTAACATTTATTCCCACTATGTACTAGCAAGGGTGCTCTGGTGGTACAGTGGATAAGGCATTCAGCTGCTAACCAAAAGGCTGCAGTTTGAACCCACCAACCACTCCACAGGAAAAAGATGAGGCAGTCTGCTTCCATAAAGATTTACAGCCTTGGATCCCTATGGGGCAGTTCTACTCTGTCCTATAGGGTCACTATGAGTGGGAATTGACTCAGTGGCAGTGGGTCTGTTTTCTGGTTTATGTATTAGCACTATGCTAAGCATTGTGATTACCTCATTTAATCCCCATATAAACCAAACTCACAGCCATCCAATCGATTCTGACTCACAGTGACCCCCGTTGGGTTTCCAAGGCAGTAAATCTTTATGGAAGCAGATTGCCCCATCTTCCTTCTGCAGAGTGGCTGGGGGGTTTGAACTGCCAACCTTCTGGTTAGCACTCAAATGCCTTAGGCACTGTGCCACCAGAGCTCCTTAATTTCCATATAGCCCTATTTATTTATTGTGTGTCAATAAGTAAGTATTAGTATTTGCTTGTAAAAGAGAAAGTTAAAGTATATAATACTTGTCACAGAGTAAGCACTACTGAACTATAGTTAGCCATTAAAAAAAATTAGTAAGCTATATAATCCAAACGGAGACCCTGGGTGGGGCCAACGGTCATTGTGCTCGGCTGCTAATGAAGACGGGAGGTTGGATCCCACCCAGAGGCACCTTCAAAGAAAGTACCTGCTTCACCATCAGCCACCGAAAACCACGGAGCTCAGTTCTACTCTGCATACCTGGAGTGCCCTGAGTCGGAGTCGAACGCAACAAACAATAAAAAATATAATCCCAAAACTAAAATACTCATATTTGCTTCATGTTTCAATATCAAGAAAACAAAGGCCCATATCAGAAGGCAGTATGTTCTTGTTTAAAATAAAACAAACTCCACCAACAAACAAAAAATCACCAAGTCACCTCATCTTAAGAACTCTGTATTAGAATGAACCATTCTAAGTTCTGATGAGAGGATGTGAGATGCTTTTGTTAAAAGGGAACTGGGCAACTACAGTCCCCCCCACAATGCCCATAATGAAGGCATTTTGAGCAGTGATTCTTTACCTTCACAGGATGAGGGATCCCATTTACACTGATGAAAGCTACAGATCCTCTCTAGAGAAAAGAACACGCAGCCTTACAGACTCCAGTTGCCCTTTAATGTTATGTAAATTTGCCCTCACTTTGAAACGACCTAACCAACTACTACTTGCATCACATTTTCATCACAATCACTTTCACTTGCTTCACATGCACCTTTGAAATCACTGAAAGGTTTTGAGCCTTTTCTTGCACTAAATTAAGGCTAAATATGAACTGTACGAACCTCTTCTGACTCACTCACAAACCCCACTTAAAGACTTTAGACACAGTTAGGAATGGGTATCATTTGTAATCCGGAGACTGCTTGTATACACTTAAATAATTCAACGCACAATTTCGGGGAGGATTTCCAGAATCTAAGATGAGAATCTCTGCCCAAGAGATAAGGAACTTTGTCTTTTACATCTTCATATCTAATTTTTATTCCCTAGTATCCAGTAATTAAAAACAAAACAAAACAGAGCACTTTAATTATCTATATATATATAAACGTGGATGTTATGATAAATTTATATACATAAATATTAATTAGAGCCAATTCTCTGCAGCTGCTTTTAGTTCTACACAAACCGTCACAGTAAGAAGGAATACTGAACTGAGGGCTCATTTCACAGTACCAGTATGAAGTAATGTTTTAAAATAAAGAAGAAGGATAAATCTTATAGTAAGAAGTTAATAAATATGCTAGACAAAATATACTGCCTTTAAAGAAGACTTTAAGACCAAGCTGTATAGATTCTAAACTTAGTCAATTATGAATATAGAATTAAGATGTCACTAGTGATCTTCACCCAACGTATTCTTTCATCCTAGAAAAAAAGCGAAATAATCACGTATTTAAGTCTCACCTGTCATTTTAAAATAAGAACACAAGAAACCATAATCAAACTATATTTGATCACAGTAGATATTCCATGTACAATAAATTTCTCTGTAAGGATTAAGCAATCATCTGAAATCTTTTGACCAGTAAGTATCAAAGTGCTTACCGTTTGGGGGGTCTCGTTTTTTCTCTGTTAGAAAATAAAAGAACATTATTAGATACATGTAACATCAATTTAAAAAGTTAATTCCCATAAACGATGTCTTATTCTGAAGTGGATGTATACAGGTGGCCACAGAAGGTTTCTCTAGGAACTGACATTTGAGCAGACATCTGAATGAAGTGAGGAAGGAACAATATATAAAATAGCCAAAGGCCCTATGGAGGTACAGCATAAAGGAACATCATGAAGACAAGTGCAGTGGGTGAGAGAAGAATAGAGGGGTAAGTCAGGAGAGCCAGAGGCTGGATAATGCAGGGTCCCCACCTACATGTGGGACCATGGACTACAGAGTTTATTTGATACATGACTGGAAGCTCTTGAAGGGTTTTGAATATAGCAAGTGACATAATCTATGTTTTAGAAAGTTGACTCTGGCTTGTTGTTGTTGTTGTTATGTGCCGTCGAGTCGGCCCCGACTCATAGCGACCCCTCCTTGGGTTTTCGAGGCAGTATCACTACGGAAGTAGGATTGCCCAACCTTCCTTCCGAGGAGTGGCTGGTGAGTTTGAACCGCCAGCCGTCTGGTTAGCAGGCAAGTGACTTAGCCACTATGCTACCAGAGACTCTGGCTATTGTGTGGAAAAGAGATGGGGGCGGGGCTTGAATAGAAGCAGAGAAACAGCAGAGGATGGTGGCTTGGATTAGGGTGGTAGCAGCAAAAGTGATGAGACGTCATCCAATTCAGGAGATATTTCTTAGAGTCAATGGGACTTACCAATAGGATTTATGAGGGACCAGAGATCTGAGTCTAAGTGACCGGTGGAGCAAATGCCTTTTACTGCAATGAAGAAGCTAGGAGACTCAGGAACAGATGTGATTGGGTGACATTTTGGGGTGTGGGACAAGAATCAAGTGTTCTGCTCAGGTGTGTGAAATCTGAATGCTATTTTGACATCCAATTTGAGAAGACAGAGTCCAAGGTCAGGGGAGAGGTCAGCACTGGGAGTTATCAGCATATAGATAGTATTCAAAGCAGAAAGGGAAGGAGAATTCCCAGAGAAGTCTGTGCACTGACCCAGACCAGTGAAAATACTGACAAGCTGCAACCAATAAGGGAGGAGGAAAACCAGGAGAATGTCTATCAGCAGTTCCTTGCATTTATATTCTTATATACCAGGTTTTCTCAGAACAAGACACTATTTTGGCTTTAAGAAAGTTCAAGAGTAGCTGAAGAACTTTAAACAAATATAATCTTCAAGAATTTTTTTAAATAGAAATTTTTTCTAAATTATGAAAGATGTGTACACAAATAACTGATGTAATTAAATAATGATTTAATAAATAACCACAAACTAAAGTCAACAGAATTTAACTGCAGATGAATTTAAAATCCTAGCAATGGGAAATATAAATGTATTACTCCATCTGGTGGTCTGATAAAGTACCTTCCTGAAACATTTGACTAAGCAAGTCCTATTGATGTCAATAAATGCCAAGCCCCCATTTACAAGGTGCTGCTACCTCGGCATCCAGAAAAGAAATACTTCTTACACTGGTAGATGAAACAATTACGAAAATATATTGAGATAAATAAAGTTCAGATGTAATTTCTAAAAAGCAATTAACAAATATATAACAGCATTCTGGCTTGAGAGCAACTCATACAGAAAAAAAAGGGAGGGTTTGTATTGAGGGTTTGGTTGAAGAAGACTGAATGGGAGCGGTGTGAAGTACTTGCTAAACATCAGAATGGTGTTTAAATCAAGTCAAGGAAGGTTGAAGTATCCCAGTCTGAGTCAGACTACATTTGGAAAAGTGTGTTCAACTCTGGAGACCACATTTTGAAGAGGACATAAAAATCTGAACTGGATTCAGACCACAGTACTCAAGATGAAAAGTCTATAAACCATATCTTATGAAGAATGGTTCAAGAAACTTGAACTGATTAGACTTAGTAATTATGGCATAAGGAGGACATGATAGATGGCTTTCAATATCAAACACCTATTGTGAGGAATGGGAAATAGACAAATTCTCTGTGGCTCTCCAAGTTGGATCCCATAGGCCTAAGTTAAAGAGATGGGACCTTGGCATTAGGCTCAGCATAAAGGGCTACCCAACAATGAATTGGCTGTCTCCTTAATGTTGTGACCTTTCTGCTTCTGAAACACTGCCCAAAAGTTTAGTTGTTTTATATATAAAACAACTCCTGTACCAGGTGAGAAGCTGAAAAGTATCTTTTAAGTTCCAAACCAATTTCCAAGCCAATTTTTTAATACTTTAAGATGTATTTTTGACTCTTTTTTATACTGAAAGTATCCCATGTTCTGACTGAGAGGAGCCAGCGAGACCCTGACCTCCCACCACAGTACATCACAGAAACAGACACTGGAACCATAATCACCCTTAGAGTTGGAGTTTCAATAACACAACATTAAATCCTTCCCTAGCATGGAATCTAGTGGTAAATGTTATTTCAAAAGAAGTAACAAAAAAGAATAGCCCATAATAATTCTCCAAGTCACCCATTACAAGTGGGTGACAGTAAGATGGCCACAGGGAAAGAACAACTCAGTAATTTTAATTTTAATTTCACCTCCCTCTTAAAACGCCACTGAAATGACAGTAAAGATGCAATGAAATACCTACTTTTACATGCCTGTTTTTCAATCCAGTATCTTCCTTCTCCTTAGTTTATGTCCTTGAATACTGAGATCTTAAAACTAAGATAACATGTACCCCTGAAAATGCATAAAGACTTTCCAAGCAGTATGAGGGCATGTGAGTTTTAAGGGATTGATTTGCTGATCTCAACTCCCACATGATCTCTCTCCTAATACTGATCTGCATGAGACAACCATGTTGCTGGAGGTTCACCTTTCCTTATCACCTTCCTCTCACCTGACAATAGTAATGTCTAGAATACTGCTGCTCAGCACCAGTTCTACACTAATGAACCAAAAGCTCTCTGCTAGTCTGCATCATTCTGTAATTGTTTCATATATTGGAATCATCTCATGAACTACATTAAGTTTCTTATGGTTTTATAATTTACAGCATTAGGGACAAAACAGAAGTGAAACAATGTTTACGGCTCTTATTTGCAATTCTGCTTATTTGCTTCTAGTCCTACCTGGAAGTCTTTGTTCACAAAGTATAAAATACATAAAATTCTTCTTTGAAAGTTATGAACAATGCCATAAAAATACAAATTTAAGAGCCAGAATATATAAAATTTTATCAACAAAAAAAAGTTATTAAAATGGGTTCTACTGTACATCTGGAACAACTATTTCTGAATGAAAATAATATTTCTTTCAAGGTAGGGATTGGCAAATTTTTTCTGCAAAGTGCCAAATAATACGTATTTTAGGCTTTGCAGGCCATCCAATCTGTCCCAACTGCTCATCTATGTTGTGTTATGAAAGAAAGCATGACAAGTTATAAGTGAATGAACACAGCTGTGCTCCAATAAAATTTTATTTACAAAAGTAGGCAACAGGCCATATTTGGCCTACAAACTGTAATCTGTCCCTGTTTTAAGAAATTGAAAAAAAAAAAAAAGGTTACCGGATTTCCTTTGTCGTCGGCCCAATAGGTCTGTAACTGCTTTTCGGAATTTCTTTGCTTCTTCTTCATTGGCAAAATTAAGAGCAACTTGACAAGTCTGAAATTTTTTTAATCAAAAGAATAAACAACAAAAAGCACAGATTTAGCTTTATATAAAGAAAAAGATGATGACCAACACAAGTACATTTCTGAAGAAAGGTTGACATTACTAGTCAATAAAAAAATCTTATAACCTTAGCAATTTAACTTTTAAGGCAAAAGCACAGAAAAGGTAAAGTAAAAGAATACTGTTAGGAAAAGTTACCTATTACAGTAGATACTCAAGTATTCAACCAAATATTTCATCTTTCAAAAAAAAAAAGTAAATTGAATTTGATCGTTTAGTAGAGTCTGAAAACAATCTGGGCTAGAAAACACTGGAAATGTTTGTCAAATATGCAAGTCAACTCTATCTTTAAAACTCAATGCTTTTATTTTACAGGTCAATTAGAGAAAGGTAGCACTGAAATTATGTCTTATTAGGTAAATTATTAAAATGTAGAAATACACTGGCATTATTTATTATCACTATTTATTATCCTCGGAAGGAAGGTTGGACAATCTATTTCCGTAGTGATACTTCCTTGGAAACCCAAGGAGGGGTCACTATGTGTCAGATCTGACTCGATGGCAGTGGGTTTTTTTGAAAATTTATTTATTATCATTATTTATTAGCTTTTAATACACACACACACATTCTCTCTCTCTTCCATCCCATCAAGAAAAATATGAAAAATAAGTTGGAGGAGAAAATGCTTTATGAAGGGATGGATATATCATTTAATTCAAGCCTTTTTTTTTTTTTCTCCAATGTGTAAAATTTAGAAAAGACAAATATGCAAAACAAAGAAAATTAAAATCACCCATTACCCATTCACTCAGACAATTCCTGTGAGCATTTAGTATAAACATCCTTCCAACATTTTCCCCACTCATACAGTTAATTTTTAAAATTCCCCTTCCCTTTTACTCTATTTTACCACTCTTGTCATCAACTATTCTTCCACAAAATAATTCGAATGGCTATATATGGGAGCTCTGGTAGCATAGTGGCTAAGGCACTTGACTGCTAACCAGAAGGCTGGCGGTTCAAACCCATCAGCCACTCCTCGGAAGGTTGGGCAATCCTACTTCCGTAGTGATACTGCCTCGGAAACCCAAGGAGGGGTCGCTATGAGTCAGGGCTGACTCGACGGCACATAACAACAACAACAACAAATATACCATTCAAGGAGCTCTGGTAGCATAGTGTCTAAGGCACTTGACTGCTAACCAGAAGGCAGGTGATTCAAACCCACCAGCCACTCTTCGGAAGGAAGGTTGGACAATCTACTTCCGTAGTGATACTGCCTCAGAAACCCAAGGAGAGGTCGCTATGAGTTGGGTCCAACTTGATAGCAAACAACAACATATACCATTCAATATTTTCAAGTTACTGAATTATTGGACATTTAGGGCTCATTTTTATGGGTAACAAAACTAAGGTTCAAAGAGGTTAAACTATTTGCCCAAAGTCACACAGTTAAGATAAAGATGGGAAAAAAATAATCTCTTTTCTACCACAGCAGATCTATTTGCAGTCTTTATAAATCTACCCACCAATCTCCCTTTTTTTATGGCCCCTGAAATCTTAGGAATTTCTTCCTAATTAGCTATAATAATCTATGAAGAAGTTTCTAAAAATAATATACCCACGAATATATAAAGGTTTGACAGAGGATATTTCTACATATGTATTACATGTGCCACAAATATATCCAGGAATATAGTGGAGCATACAGGAGGCAAGATTATAAAAAGGTTTTAGCCATAACCAAACACCTTAAAGTCAATGAATCACTGCGCTTAGGAGCTTAGGCCTACAATCTCAAGGGACATCAAGATCAATTGCCATAACAATCCATAAAGACAATGTTCTACATCCTACTTTGATTGGCAGCAACTGGCATTTAAAAGCTTGTGAGCTGCACAACTACTGGTCTCTCCCGAGGAGGAGCAAAGAAGAGTAAAGAAAATCAAAGATACATGGAAACCATTAGATCAAAGGACTAACGGACCACGCAAACCTCAGCCCCCCGACCCTGCGACCAGAACTAGATGGTGCATGGCCGGCACTGCTGACTGCTCTGAAAGAGATCATGATAGGAGGCCCTGGTTAGAGCGGAAGAAAAATGGGGAACAAAATCCAAAATCGTAACGAAGATCAGAATAACTGGTCTGGAGACTGGAAGAACTCCCGTGAGTATGGCCCTGACAGTCCTGGAGCTGAACTTAGCCCATGGGGCTCAACTTTCAGCCAATTAATAGGCCTATAAGGTGAACAAAGACATCAGGGAGGTACACACCTCTCTGAACAACCAATCATTTGAGAACAAAATGATTCGCCCAAAGATAAAGCTCAAAAGGCAGGAACAGACAGAAGAGAAGGACTAATGGAAAATGGTAACCACAGGGGGAAGTGGGAAGAGTGCTGTTATATTGTGGGCATCACAATATCACAAAACTAAATGTGTATAAATTGCTGAATGGAAAACCAATTTGCTCTGTAAACTTTCACCCAAATCACAATAAAATGTTAATAAATAAATAAAAGAATTCTTCATATTTTTATACAATATTTCACAAAAAGCTCATAAATGCTTTCCATACAACTATAAAAGCAAATATGTTATATAGGTCAATAAAAGAAAATATAACTTACATCTCCAGCAAAAGTATGAAAATATCCTCTAGGACTATTATATACAAAGTTATTATATAGCTCTTGTTCCCACAATAGTTTCCCATCCTGGAAAAAAAGTAGAAATTAAAATAAGAGTTACCAAAAAAATATTATCTAGGACTGGAAGGAAAGCAGATGATTCATATTACAGCAATTTTTACTATTAACAACAGCTTTTACATATACACACGCCACATATCTGTATAGTATACAAGTAACATATCACATAATTTAGTTGATCAGTCATTTCTTAATAACTGAAAACACTAGGTAAGGTTTCTTCTATTCATAAAACCTACAGATCAAATGAGTTTAATTCAGTATGCTAAGATATAATCCTATTAACCACAAACCAAACCCACTGCCATTAGGTCAATTCCAATACATAGCAACATCCACTGGGTTTCCAAGGCTGAAATCTTGACAAAAGTAGACTTCCTCCTATGAAGCAGCTGGTGGGTTAGAACGGCCAACCTTCTGGTTAGCAGCTAAAGGCTACCAGAGCTCCCTGTAATCCTATTAAGCATTTTCAAATACAGTCAAAATTGTAACTAGAACAATTATTAAATACAGTCAAAATTGTAACTAGAACAATTATTAGATCATTGATACTACATAGAATGAATTGTATATACGCTAATTACCAGTAATAGTTTCATCAATAATATGTGCTACGCCCTGGAAATCCTATGGGGCAATTCTACTCTGTCTTACTGGGTCACTATGAGTTGGAATTGGGTTTGGGTTTTTGGTTTACCAAATATTACAGAAATACTACATCCTTTTTTTCTCAATTCTGTAGATACTGTGAGGATCAGAAATGCTGTCTCTGCACTCACCACTCATTAGCAATCTTTGAATTCCTAACTTTTACAGAATGGCCTTCTATCTAAACACTGGAATTAATAATAACAATCATACTGCAGAGAGACACTGATGATTAAAGCCCACCATGGTTAAGCTATGGATGAGAGAGGCATGGATGATTGTCACATCTGTGGCTGTAATGTAAGAAATACATTTAGCCTCAATACCTGAGATTGTTAATAATGAGTGTTCCACAATGGTTACCTACACCTGGAAATGAGTGGTTGGGGAAGCTTAATTACAGCCCTGTACTGAAGTGCAAGGAGCTCTGGTAGCGTAGTGCCTAAGGCACTTGACTGCTAACCAGAAGGCTGGCGGTTCAAACCCAGCAGCCACTCCTCAGAAGGAAGATGGGGCAATCTACTTCCGTAGTGATACTGCCTTGGAAACCCAAGGAGGGGTCGCTATGAGTCGGGTCCGACTCAACGGCACATAACGACAACAACTGAAGTGCAAAGTTCTATCTAGATTATAATTTAACATTATCTAAAATGCACTATGACATTATAATCATTATAATGGAATCCATTCTTCTCAATGGAGCTGCAAGTGTATTTCATTTCTAAACTGTTTCTCACTGGGGATGGGAAATGTATCAATGCGTTTTAGGATCTCTTTCACTCTGTGGTTGTGCTGCACGTCCGCCAGAATCACTGCTAGAGTGAGCCACTGCTGATAACCGGAGCATGTCACATCTCTGAGCTCTCTCGGAGGCAGGGAGCAGTGGATATTAATAAGCACTGATTTGCAAAGTACAGTAACTTAAGTCTCATTCAATCCTAGTAAAATACTTTTCAACCGACCCAGAAAGTTATCCCATCTTAAAAATAAAGAGGCCAAAGCCCAGAGATGTAAAAGAAAGCTTGACTACTGTCAGACAGTAAATAGGAATTTAAGGCTGTGTGTGTGTGTATGTCAACTACATTGCCACATTTAAGTATTAACCGTGGAGGCTTACCGATGAGAAAAGTTTTAAAAGAAATAATGGAGACTTGACCTTGGCAAATGATAATTACTTCTGTGGTCACTGTTAAGAGATAAATCCCTAAAAAAAGGCATACAAACTAGGACAAGATGAGTTTATAATTGAGTTAGGGATACAGACCTGTAAAAATATGAATGTACCTTGCTGAGAAACAACATAAAGAAAAATGGGTAGCAAATACATTAATAAAAACATCGCATAATGCTTTAAACCTGAGCTGAAGTAAATGATAACCAGCACATACCAAACTAAAATAGACTTCTGCTGTTCCCTGAAAGGAGTATGTATGTTAGTCTGTAGTGGACAGAATGGAATAAAGGGACATTATTAGAAAAGGAAGGATTGTGAAGAAAGCTCAAGACAAAACAAAACAAAACAGTAGCTCTAATGACACATGGGAGCGATTCCTGATCTGGCTTAAGGCATGTTCCCATTTGTTACTTCAGCATCTAAAACCAAGTTGTACCCTTTTAATGGCAATATAAATATCATTTAAATATTACATACTGGAATACCTTTTTTAAAAAAGGAATCATATCCCATTATAGCCAAGGCACAAAACCTAATTACCTACAGTTTACAGACTTGAAAGTAAACCCAAACTCACCTTGATGTCAAATATTCTTAAAAAATAAGATCTCTGTGGATTGTCCTTAACAAGGCAAGCTACACCACTGCACTTCTTTGACCACATACAATTCCGATCTGCTGCATATAACTGGACCACTGCCGATGACATAGCCTGCAAAAGACAAAATTTATAGCCGTTAGGTTCAAAATAACACTCAAGGTTCTAGAGGAAAACTATACAGAATTTGTACGTTTATGTTTAAGTAGAAATGCATAACAAACAGACAGAATTAATCTTATAAGCCCACGGTCAACACAGCATTGCAAATAGCCAAGACATGTAATCCTTTAAGATTTCAGGAGAAAGGAAGATCTTTTAACTATTGTCTCAAGATTAAATTTGGCAGACGGCACAAAATTATGCTTCCTATCCTTTTCAGGCCCACTAACTGAATATTGATACGTCAGGACAGGAACTAATGTTGCTGATTTATTACCCAAGCAAATCACAGAGGTTAAGACCTCAGGCAGATACAGAGTCAGATCTGCATTTCAATCCCGACTCTACCACTTTCTAGCTGTATGACTTCATGTATATCAACAAACTTTTTAAAAGTCCAGTGTCTTCATTTACAAAATTATAATATGGTATATCTCCTAAAATTAGGGTCAAATTAAATAACATAGGTAGTCTGCTTAGCAGTACTGGAGACCATACCTAGTAAATACGAGCTGCCATGGTAATGCCATCATCGTGCTCACGGCAGCTCTCTTAAAGCAGATCTCAAAGCAGCATGCAGAGAGAAAGGTCTGCAATCACGAAGACTGAAATCTCAAGACCTATTTTATAATTTTAGAGAAACAGTACATTTGATATCTTACTCTAGGGAGCTCTGGTGGCATAGTGGCTAAGGCACTTGACTGCTAACCAGAAGGCTGGCAGTTCAAACCCACCAGCCACTCCTCGGAAGGAAGATGGGGCAATCTACTTCTGCAGAGACACTGCCTTGGAAACCCAAGGAGGCCTCTCTATGAGTCTGATCCAACTCGACAGCAGAGAGATTTTTTTTCCAAGCCACAAAATGTTTTTTTTTAAAAAGAAGAACAACAAGAATTTCCTACCAGCACCAGAAATTAAAGATAATGTAACAAATGTCAGACATTTAGAGGTGGTGTTTGTATCTACAAACTATCATATTTATGGAGCAGACTCAGAAACAATAGTAATGGCTGGAGTGGGCACCAGCAATCTCTTCAACAGCAGTATCTGCCACCAAGGCAGCCTGTGCAACTCCATCGACAGCACGCTGTACTGCAGGGCTGAGGGCCAAGCCATCTGGAGAAGCCAAGCTCTCCACCTACAGCCGTGGCTTGGTGGGAGAATGGGAAGCAAGGGGAGGAACTGGAGGACGGAGAGAGTGCACTATTGACAATCTACAAGTTTCAGATGTGTCAGGTACTGACGGCCACAAGGGAAGCTGGTGGCTGGAACAGAGGGGAACAGTCCTGTATAAACTATTCTTTTAACTTCACTTTTTCATCAACTTAGACATAAGAAAATGGACACTTTCAATACACTGAAGTAATTCTGACTGCTTCTGCCACCTGCTAGCATCGACCTCAGAATTTTGAGTTTTATATGAAAATGATGGTAAAATATTTAAGCACTGTGCCTGGCTTCAGTAAGTGATCATAAGTGGCCAATCCAAGGTAACTCTCATTAACCCCCCAAAAAAGACTGAAGGAAACAGAGCTGTGTAGTGGGGAGGAGCAGGGTGAAATCAGACTTCCCCGGCTGTGTGTCCCTAAAGTCACTCAGTCTCCATCACACCTCTCTTCCATTTCACTGGAACACAAGGACGATCACCCCAGCTTCAGGAGTTACTAAGAGAATCAGATGAGACGACGGCACAAGATCGTTAGTACAGTGAGAAGACAGCCTTTGCTTTCAAAACCCAGACTTGGGTAGGAGTATAATTAATACAATCCTTTTGGAAAACAATTGTGCTATTACATAATGAATTCCTTTTTTGAGGAATCTATCCTAAGAAAATAATTCTAAATACGGAAAGTTTAATGGGTAAAGAGAAGCCCTGCTACTGAAAGTGTGGTCCATGGAGCAACAGCATTGCATCTGCTGAGAGCTTGTTAGAAAGGCAGAACGAAGGGACCATCACAGATCTCCTGAAAAAGAATCTGTATTTTAACAAGATCCTCAAGTGATCCATCTGTACATTAAAGTCTAAGAAATGCTACTTTGAAAACAAATGATAAGTTCAAGAAATCTTATCTCAAACTCACTGAAAGAAATGAAAACACGATTAAATAAACTGATAATTTATTGTAGTTGTTTTTGAGTTCTACATACTGTATCATTTAAGATCCCAAAGCCAGTTATGCTATATCAAATTTGATATAAATCAGAGGTCTGGGAAGCAAAGTGTGACTTCCCAGGACAGACCATAAAAGACACTGCAGGTTCTGCCTTGCCCTCTCTTGGCTCACTCACTCTAGGAAAATTCAGTGGCCATGTCACAAGGAGACTCATGCAGCCCTGTGCAGAGGTCCACATGGTGACAAAATGAAGTCTCCTGTCAACAACCGGCACTAATGAGCCTTCCTGGAAGTGAATCTTCCAGCCCTAGTCATCATGCCTTCTGATGACCACAGCCCCTGCTGACATCTTGACTTCAACCTCTGGAGAAACACCAAACCAGAACTACCCAGCTAAGATGTGGACTATAAAGAATAAGGAATTTGCCAGCTAAGTGGAAGAGCTGGGATTTCAACCGTGCAATTTGTGACTTTAGATTCTGTATTCTGTACACCTACATTATATCATTTCCCAATAAAGTGATCATTTAAGCCATGAAATAGTATAACCAATGGTCACCTGCTTTAAAGCTGTTAAGTACTTTACTATAGGTATTATATCAAACTTGAAAGCAGGATTTAGAGTTACTAATTATAATGCTCTACCACCCATCTGCCAGTTTGTCCTACTGTGGTGGCTTGTGTGTTGCATGGTGCTGGAAACTATGCCACTGGTATTTCAAATTCCGATGTCACCTTTGGTGGACAGGTTTCAGTAGAGCTTCTAGACTAAGTGAGAAAGGCCTGGCGATTTCCTTTTGAAAATGAGCCAAGGAAAACTCTCTGGATCAGAATACAATCTGATGTGGTGCTGGAAGGTGAGCCCCCAGGTTGGAAAAGAGTCAACAAGCACAGTGACCACATCAGATGCACGCATGCAAATGACTGTGAAGATGGTGCAGGACTGGCCTACGCCTCATTCTGTTCCACACAGGGTCACTGTGAAACAAAGCTGACTTGATGGCAACTAACAATTACAGTGGGAGCTCTGGTAGCATAGTGTAAGGCACTTGACTGCTAATCAGAAGGCTGGCAGTTCAAACCCACCAGCCACTCCTCGGAAGGAAGATGGGGCAATCTACTTCCGCAGTGATACTGCCGCAGAAACCCAAGGAGGGGGTCGCTATGAGTCAGGTCTGACTCAACATCACATAACAACAACAACAATTACAGTACTAGACAATTTAAACACATCATCATCCTAGCAGGTAAATTCTTGTATTTCCCTGTCTAAAGATAATGAAATCGAGGGAAGAAAGATTGTAAGCAGTAATGAGGTTATGAAAAATGATCTGAGTGACTACTGTCTCAATTTCCCAAAGACAGTAGCTGATTAGTACGCTTTAAGGAGTCTCTGGATGGCGCAAATGGTTAAAGCACTAAACTACTGACCCAAAATCTGGCAGTTCGAACCTAACTGGAGCTCTTGGTACTTTTCTCCCAAGCCTGGTAATCCGCTACTGAAAAGTCACAGACTTGAAACCCTATGGAGTGCAGTACTACTCAGTTCTATTCTGCACACATGGGGTCACCATGAGTTGGAATTACCTCAAAGGCAGCTGGTAGCTGATAAGGTTCCAAAAGACTTTCCCAGATAACAACACTTAATGCTATGCTTTTAATTCCTGCACACCAAACATGTTTGAATTTCACACATGGTCTTACTATATATAAATAGGATACAAAGCAGCTGAAAATTTCTACAAGAAGAGCCATTTAAAAATTATAAAGATAACTTAGAAGCACGAAAAATGTGTTTACTAGGATAGTGGGCTTAAAGATTGAAGAATGTGGGTATACCTTGAGTGCATTCAAAATACCAGTCTTCTTGTGCAAGTTCAATCTCAGAACAATAGCTCCATAGGGTAGGCTCCCTGTCCCCAAACTCTGAGCACTGAAAACTTGGGAAAAATAAATTTTGCATGTATCACCCACAGGCATTAAATACTAGGTCAACAAATTCAAAAATTAAATGAAAAAATTTGTTTGCTAAGGAAAACTCATATAAATTAACAGTGTGTTTTTAGTATGATCCTGCCAGACCATTCATTTCTAAAAAGAAAAGCAATTTGGAAACTAGATGCCAGGAAAAAGCTATGAAAATCTCCTTACTTTACTTTCTAATCAGAAAACACAAAGTTATAGCTTTCAAAATGTGTCATCTAATAGTATCTAAAATTCCATCATGGAAATCCCCTTGCCAAAGGACCAAATATCAACTTTGTAAAACATCATCTGGATATATACACAAACTGAAAAAGAAACCTAAAAATCTACATTTAAACATTACTATAAATTTAAAACAAATTCTTAAAATATATGCTTAAAAAATAAAGACTCTTGAAACAATTCTATGGTTTCCCATAAGGCATTGTAAACCTTATTGTAACGCAACATAAAATATTTTAACACTGATGAAATCTAATCAAGTGATTTTCAGTAACTGAATTTTCAAAAATAAGTTACAATCACATCATCAGTCTAAATATGTGTATTTCACCCCCCCCTTCTTACCTCCAACTGGCCTAATCTGAAAATTACAAGTCATACCATTTTCCTGATTTAGAGTAATTACAGTGAATGCAAGAATAGCTTACACTCATAACATTTAGTATATAAATATTAGGCAATATAAAAAATGACTATCTCCTAAACTCTAGATTGACAGTAGCTTAATTAAGTTTTTAAAAACATTCCTTCCATTCCTTTAAAGTGATTAAAACTAATCAACTCCATTACTTCTTGCCTTTTATAATCAAGAAGATATTATTGAAAAACAATCTAAGGACATATGGTTAG